CCCCCACCCCCATACGGGACCCTTTTAAACCTTGTGTCTAGGAGCAGCCCAGCGAGGAGAAGAGAGAGAATCTGGAGATCATTTCTGAAAATCTCCAGCAGCGTTCACCTGGAACTGATTCTGAACCTCGGCTTTGAGATGGACCGGAGGGGAACACAAATCTAACCAGCCACCCCCACACACACTCGCTCACACACACACACACGTTTGTTTTTATATCCGCATGGGGACCATGGATTGACTTCCATTCATTTCCTGGTAATTTTATAGCTTAACCCTGATCATTTACCCTAAAACTAACCTAAACTCAATTCACACCTTGGTCCTAAACCGAACCTCCCACCTGAAATTAACATCCGTACCTSTGGGGACCGGGCTGTGGTCCCCACGAGGCTGCCTTTTTCTGGAAAATGGTTCCCACAATGTAGCAAAAACGACCAGGACAAGGTCCTCACTTTRCATCAAGACCTCACTTTGACAGTAACTATTCTGCAAGTGGTCCTCACTCTGTAGCAGAAACAAGTACAAACATACACACACACACAAAAAAAATCCTTCCTCTAGATGGATGTCCTGTTTTCCTTTTTCTTAAGCATACTGAAAACTAGATATGCACATAAGCACAGTGGAGAAAACGTTCTAACTGGATAGACAGAAAGAAAAAAAAACAGGAAGAGGAGCCAAGCTGTTAGAATGTCACTGGAAGAATAATCGGAATTTRAATTATATAGGAGGGTTAAAAAATTGGGTCAGATTTAAAGAAAAAGGCTTGAAAAGGGGAAGACACGAAGGCTGGAAAAGGAGAACATTAGCAGGAGGTAAAAAGATGAGGTGGAAACAAAAGTGGTACAAAAAATCTGCTTAACTGATGTTTTTGCATATATCTGCAATAAATTTCACCCAAAATCAGTGACATATTAAAGGGCCAGCATATCACATGTCAGAATATAAACTAAAAATAAATAATCTAATAATGAGGAACGATGAAGTTGTAGTTGCTTTACGTCAGAATACCTTTGCTCATCCCAAAAACAATTTGCTTCAAATTTATTTTACATCTATCTATACATTTATTTTCTGAGTTTTCTGTCTCGTGTAGAAACAGCAACACAAGGTCAGTCAATTCAGCTGCAGATCAGCTCCCACCACCTCACAACAAACAAGTTTTGTGTCCCGAACAACTGAATGCAAACCTCCTCCTCTGCAGCGAACTTCCATTTTCTACAGAAAAAACGTCTCAGAACGGCTGAGCAGACAGAGAGTTTATAACACCGAGCTTTGCTTTCTTGTGTATACACAAGTGTTGAATTGCTCAATTTCCACCACACAGCCCCCTCTCAGTGCTGTACTACAGTCTGTCTGATGTTAGCTAACCTGTGTGAAGATTAGATTTCTAAATCCCTCATAAAGATGTGGGAAAGTTTACGAGAGAGAGAAGAAATAATGAAAGAAGCTGAGTTTTAGTGCACAGGAGGCAGTTTACATCGGATTTCTACATTCAGATAGAAGGTTGTAAGGAAAGAAAAAAAAAGAGGACAGAGTCACAGAGTAGGTCAAGCCAAGCTGTCGTAATCTGCAGCAGATCTAGAGGAAGCTCAGAGCCTCTCGCTACAATCCTCAAAAGGGAGGGTCAGGAATTGGAACGAATGAGTGACAGGAAATTACCAAAGAATATCACCATCCTCATAAAAAAAAAAGCACAGAAGGCTTAAAGAAAATGGACTAAGTCTCAAGATTTTTTTCCTTTACATTTGGAATGAAGTTATTCAGTTTGGGTTTGGTTTCAAATAGTTGGAGGGGGGAGTATTTAGGAGAAAATTGGACTTTCAGGTTAAACGTATTTACTGCTCAGACAAGTAACGTCTAAAACACAAACACTAACATAAGATGCTATCAGAGACTTTCTTTCTTCTAAGCTTTTCAGGAGAATCTCAGTGCAGTACGACCTTTTAATCAGCGGAGCTGCAGCTCCCAACAGGCCGGATGAGGTCGTTTTCGGGGTTTATTTATTATAGAACGGGAGTTAGGGTGACAGGATGTCCACATCAGTGTGATCTCTTGACTGAGAGGTCACCAGCGCTACCTTGGCTCGTGCACAGCTTTACTTTTAATAAAAAGCTATATCTTTTAGTCATGTGAGTGATAGGATGTCAATGTCGATTAATGTCTAGCTCATAAAAACAACAGAAGTGCTTCACGATTCAACCAAATGAACRGATGAAACAACAAAGAAACAGAAATGTTCAAAAATAAGTACAATTAATGTAAAATAAAGAAATACAGCATAAAAACTCTATGATAACCTTAAACTCTTCCAGAATCAAAAGCCAAGAAGTAAAGATGGGTCTTCAGCATAGATTTAAAAGTCTCAATCTCAGGGGYCCGAATGCAAAAAGGYAAACCATTYTACAGGTCTGGGGCAGAAACTGCAAARCTCTACTGATATTTACTCTGATCTAGGGGTGAAAATAAACTCTAAAATTAACTCATGATTGGGTTTGGATGTTTTCTCTGTCAGTGCATTATCTCTTTGGTGGAAGGACTTCCTAAATTTACTGCAGCTATAGAGCAAAACCATCTCACCTGCAGAGTTGTCTTTAAACTCTTCACTTCAGTCAGCAGGTGCTTCAGTATCTCTRAGAGATGGGAAAAAAGTCAGAGAATTCATGCTTATTGAAAAAAATAAAAAGTGAACTGACTTCTTAAGAAAGCAAAATGTCTGTCTACAGCRTTAAAGGAGACAWATCCTGCTTTTAAATCCTTCTTTTTCATATTTAACTCAATCAAGTTGGGTCTATATAAAAAACTGCAATGTTTTGGTTTGAACTCCTCCTTATTGTAACTCCACAAGCCCCCCCTTTCTCCCATTTACTGAGGTGTGTCTCAGATAAACCCGTTTTGTGGCTGTCTCTTTTAACCTAAACATGATTCACACCCCACCCCGCTCCAGCATCCAGACCGGTCTATTCTAGTTTRATAGATGGGTTTACGACTATATAGCAGCACAGAAACATTTTATTTAAAAATTAATTAAAAGATGTCAACAACAGAWGACTTGTCCAACAACACGTACATGTTGGAACCAGAGTCTGACCCAGAGCCAGAGGAGAATGAAGACCACCAAATTGTAGTTGGCAAGTCCAGACCTTATTTGTCAGTAATTTGACATAATAGTTCAGAAAACATCAAGAGAAAACTGAATGGGTTAAAAAACATGATCCAAACAGAATATAAAATTATGAACTCAACACCAGGAGAGACTAAATTAAACTTTTCTGCACTGGAGCCTTTAAGTGCACAGTAAAATGTATTTAACGGCTAAAGAAAGATTTAGCATGATATGTCCCCTTTAAATAACAAGCTGCAATAAAACAACCATAACAAACTAGTTTCCTTCTTGCCTGGTGTGTTTGTGGTCCCATCCTGGTTGGCAGAAATACCCAGTGTGGTCCTACACTCCCCCAACAGTTCCACCAGCTCCTCACTTTGGCTGTCCCTGTTTTCATTACCAGGCAGCAGAGACTGACTCRGACCTTTGTCTCTTTCCTTGCAGTTCTGCTCCAAAGAGCTGCTGGCAGGTGACTCACAACACGCAGGCGAAGGGCTTTTTATGGGACTGACAGCCACACTTTTCACTTGGGAGACTGAAGTCCGTGTTGAAGAGGCCGGAGGACCCCCGTTCTTCCCCGGGGAAGCATCGGCTCCACCTGCCACGGTACTGCCCGTCTTCTTTTGCACCAGGCTCACTCCGGGAACCGCTTTRGAGCTGTTTGTAGCGACCGGTGGAGGAGGACTCCAGTCAGGAGGGGAAATGGACGTGGAGGTGTTTTGTGGTGATTTCTTCCAGCTGATAGTGATGCCTGGTGGTGGAGACAGGGGCGGAGCTGGAGCTGCAGTGGAAGGTGGGAAATGAGAGRCGCTGGGAGCGGGACAAGGTGCATCGTTCAGCGGAGAAGAAGGTGGAGTGTGGAAGGTTTCCAAATGGGACCCTGGAGAAGAAAACAGGAAAACATAAGGACCTATTAGACTGCTTTCTTGTTGTGTTTTTTTAGACTTTTGGGTACRACACACTTTCATTTACAGTAGGAAAAATACCTGCAATGTTTCCCGGCTCAGTTCACACAGGAGACACTGATCCTGAGTAGGGTTGAGCAAAATTGTATTGTGTGCAATAAARCATCAGAAAAACTGTCCACAATTAATATTGGCAACTTTTTATTTACTACAATTGTTTCCATGTGATCRTGTATTTTTGTGTTCGAGGCGCTCTCACTATCAAGCAAACATGTGAGCCCGTATTGTGCTCCTCAAGTTCTGATATTGTGGAAAAGTTGGATTTCTATTCAGTTTACTATTTTAACTTGCTACAATGAAGAAGTTTGAATGGTGATTAGTATAATTTTACAACAATTGGTAATGGATTTAGAGTCTAAAACATATAAGTGCAACTGTCATCTGTTAATCATCATGTTGATCGTTTTCGGCTAAATACCACAATTAATTGGGATTCAGTTTTTTTGCCAATATCGCCCAACCGCAATCCTGAGTGGCCTGAAATGATTCAGTAGTTCTCATTCCAGAGCTTTCTCTTATTTCCCCTGTTTTCTTTGAAAAAAAAAAAACATATTCGAACATAGTTTCAAATCAAAAGGCTAAGCTGATCTCTTGCAATTTTCTCATTTTCCTTTTCAGACTTGAATCTTCTGAGAAGCAAAATGAATTATCATAACTGCTTAAAAGCAACAAGAACAAAGAAAATATTCCTTAAAGTTGTTCAGTAAAGACGCAAAATGAACAAAAAGACCAAGTTWTGGAGAATAAAACATAAAGTTTAGTCGACATTTGTATGGCATGTTGACACTGAAAGCATCATCGGCCAGAGACGCCCAGAACAACACAGCCCTCGTTGCCCAGCCCAGCGCTCCGACTATACCCCGGGAGACGAGCGCTGTTAATACAGACATTCCTTTTGAACTCCTCCCTCATTACGTTGATGCAGCACTCATTTTCCAAATTAAAGAACACAGACTTGGACACAGAGGACCAACACTTCCCACACAGACACACACGCAGCAGAGGGATGTCAACAAATTTCCAAAGTTGACACAACAGCACAAGTGATTTCCACTTTTTAGTTCAGCATTCCTTACCCAGCAAAGCGAGACAATCCCACCTTTAGAAGCAACGGGAACCAAGAGGCACAGTCTCCCCCTTTTTTTGTCTTTCTTTTCCTTGTTTGGACAAAAGCTTCTCGACTGAGAGGGTTTGTTTTCCATAAGTGATGTAAGAGAAATAGTTGAACATTTGCAAAGTTATGCACCACCTGCTGCAAGGCCAAAATTCCWCAGAAAGAATGACAGGATCGTCTAATGATGCCCTAATGCCACCCCTGCTTTTTACTCCCAACCTCTCGTGTGCCCCTCCAACCATGTGAACGGGTAAAAGATTGACGGAGTAAGGGGCACTTTGAGTGCGTTTTCACCAAGGTCTGTGTGTGTGTGTGTGTGTGTGTGGGTGTGTGGGTGTGTGTGTCAGACAACATTAGGCCTCCTATGATTAATCTGCTGCCCTTGTGCTGAGATGGGGAATTCTGCCGATTCATCACAGCTGGCTCCACGGGCCCAGAACAAAATCACATCAGGACGAGAGGAGAATGGACCACTCACTGAACAACGCACACAGAAGGGCTGCCAAGATTCCTGCAGCCACACACACTCTCTCTCCCACACACACACACACACATACACACACAGTTTTTCTGTTTGCATTTTCCTTTGTTACAATCAGTTTCATGTTTGCCGCTCAACCACCCACTCTTTTTAGTGAATTTTCATGCAGTTTGCTCTTCCTGGATTTCCCCACCTATCCTCTTCCTGGTCACGCTCCTGTTACATGAAACAGTTTGAAACACCACAAAGATGGAGCTAGCAATGTGAAATCTATTGCATTATTAAAAGGAATGCATATCACCGGTCACCTTGTAAATAATCTCAGGTACTACTGCATCAAACTCAGTATCTGTAAAATTWACTTAATTAGCCCTTTTTCTGTTGGCTAAGATAAATATTTTTGGTGGCCATCTTGAATTGGATTGACATTATTGTGCATTCAATAAATTTTATTAAATGTCTTCCAGTGGTTTATGAGATGGTTTTCTAACACAGTGTTTCCCAAACTTTTTATCGTCTGACCCACAAAATATCCATGGCTTAAACTTGTGACCCCAAATATTACTGGTCTGAATACATTAACTTCATTAATAACCCTAAAAACACAGGCTTTTTGACAATATAAACAGTTTGTACACAAATATAAATACTTGTTTATATTTTTTTGTGTTTTTGTAATATTTATAGGGAAAATATTACATCAGCAATTATTTTATTATCCTTTAAATTGATTTCTGGAGATTATCCAAGGTGCTTCATGACCCATAATTGGGTCCCAAGCCCAACTTTGGGAACCAAAGTGCAGTGGTTCCCAAACTTTTCAGCTTTTGAACCACAAAATAACAGTAGCAGAGACCTGTGCCCACAACCATTTTTGGATGATAAACATTTGTATCAGGTCAACTAAACATGGGCATAGTAACAATATTTTTATACTACATTTATCCATTTTAAATATACTAACCTCATTCATTTGTAACAACTAAGACAAAAAATGTAATTAATTCAGAAAATCTTTTCAGGACCCCACCTTGATGTTTCGGGACCCAACTTTGGGTCCCGACCCCAACTTTGGGAAACACTGTTCTAACAAACACCTGAACAGTCGTGGGCAAAACCATGTGATAAAGACACAAAGGTGGGGTTTAAATACATGACAAATGTTATGTTTGTGTTCTTGACCTACCTGTGGGTCCGTGGTTGTCCTTGGTGGAAAAGTTGCCCATGCTGCAGTGAGAGGGTCAGGGCCACAGATGGGGGGGTCCCCGCAGGTGTTTTCAGTCACTCAGCTCAGATCAAAGAGTGGAGTGGACCTACAGAGAGTGGTCTTTGTTACGCAGCTGAGAACGACTTCAAGCACCTGACATGTGTTCTACCCCGATGCTGATTTGGTAGTAAAATCACTCTGTTTACATAACAAATCTGCATTCAAGTCACGAGCTCGAACCTGGAGAAAACAAACCGCAAAAACAACAACAAAACAACAAAATTCGATTTAACAAAACAGCTGGAAAAACGCGCAAAACACGCAGACGCACCGATCTCTGCTTTCGACTTCTTCAAGCTGGCGAGAAAACATCCGAACTTGAGACATCTGAAGTCAGASCTTTGAGCCACAAACGCGCAATCCGAACTTGTTCACAGGCGCAAATACTTTTGCGCAATAACAAACTAGAAAAAAGTAACATTTATTCTCTCACGTTAAAACTTGTAAATGTCACTAGAAAAAAAAGTATACAAACCTTTTGTAAAGGTAATGTTAATCGCCAAAAACCTTCAGCTTTGCGCTTGTTTGAGGAACTTTCCTCCGTTTTCTTCACCGCCGCTCAGTGACGCACCGCCTGCTGTCTTCATCAGGAAACAACTGAAGCTCTGCTGATCAAAATCAACCCAATTTTTTCCCCCCTCCAAGAATAATCCCTTCAAAACTAAATATTTAGTTCAATGAACGCGTCAAACTCTGGACATGATGTTTGTCCAGACAGCAGGCTGGACGTGTCCACTGGAGGGCACAGTCAGACTGCGCTGAGATGTTTGACCCGCCCTCACTTCCCACTAATGACCTACTGACCCACTGCACCGCCCAGCTGGCTCAACCCTCCCATCAAAATCCTGCCCCTGACCCAGGTGATTTATTTAGGAAATGAGAAACATTTTTCAAATACAAAATTTAATCAAATCATATAAAAAACATGAAAGGACTTCAACAGTCTACATTAAATGACTGTCAAAATTAATTTACTGTATCTTACATTCTCTATTTTCCTTCTTGACTGCTCTGTTTCCTTTACATTGTAGATTTTTTTCCTAATTAGACAAATAAATGTATAAATAACATGTCATCAACAAATACTGCTCCACCCACTGTTAGTTACAGCACATGTTGGTCAAATACCTGTCTCTGATATACTTGTTATCAATAGGCTGTTTTTTTTAGTCTTTATGTAAATTATTACCTGTCACTCTGCAGTGAGACTTTGTTACAATAAAGAACCAATATAGAGCTTGTTTAAAGTTCATAATTTGATTTTCAGGATCTATTAAGCCTGTCAAAAACGGCTACAAAATTATAGAATTTTTTTATCTCCAAAAAAATATTAAAAATGACCTTTTTTCTTTCAAGAGTTGACTTTAAAACTGTGCTATTTTGTGAATTTTGTGTTTATATACAAAAGGTTAGCTTAAAGTGTCAGAAAGACCTGTTTTAAAGGCTGTGTCCTCTAAATGCAAATATTACTTTTTTACTTAAATGTTTTAATTGTGCAAATGGTGAAACTCACAAAGGGACAGAGAAAACAAAGAGGGGTAAATTATTAGAAAACGTTGTCTTTTTTCTCTCCTCTTTTTTTTTTTTGGACAACTGTATTTCCTCTCCTATTACAAAGCCAAAAATGTTTAGGCCTATACACTGGTTATATTTTAGATCTTGAATAGATTTGTTGATAAATTTTAGGGGAGGAAAAACGTGTTTAAAGAAAAAAATGTTACCAAATCCAGATAAAAATGAACCATCTATGTTTTTTGTTGTTGTTTTTTTTTTTCCCAATTTTTGTTACAAACCAGTAAGTTCAGGACTTTTAAGCACTTATGAGGGATTATCACAGCAAAACAACGTGAACTGGAATTTAACTAAAAACATTTATTTGTTTTGTACAAAAAAAAAAAGAAATAGAAAAGAAATAGAAAAAATAAACAAATGTGTGCAGAAACAAAATGACCCATAACTGGGACTAAAGTGCAACAGTAGAGTTGACTGGTTGCCACAACAAATTTATTATTATTTTTCTACAGTTCCAACAAATCACCTTCAATCTACAGCTGAACTTGAACATGCAAACGATGAGCACCGATGTGCAACACACAACAAGCTGACGGATGGAAGCTGTGCCGTTTGCGTGCAGTTTTTTTCCAGCAGCAAACGTGTTTTCAGATGATTTCCCTCTGAATCAGCCCGGTGGCAGTGTGTTCTAACAAACTGCATGTTGCTGAGTGAAGGTTGGCTGCAGAGAGGAGACGAGCTCTCAGGCTCTGATTGAGATCAATATGTTTCCACAGTTCTCGGTGCTCACTCTGCTTCACTGCCGTGTGACAAGAATCCATCAAAACCAGTCAGGTGCATTACTCAGCCTTCAGCCCCGACCACATCGATTTCACAGCTCCTGAGTGGGAACGCCCGAAAATGACAAATGAAAGTTCCAAACAGGCATGAGAATATTAGTCAAATTGGAATTACAGGCAGAAAACTGTTCAAAACACATGTTTTTGCTTTCTTTATTTATATTTTTCCATTCCAACCCCATAATGTAGCCATTAAGGTGACATTGTTCAGCCATTAGTCTCCTCTGCTAAGGGGATTATGAATGTTTTGCTGGTGACCTGGTGGGTTTGCGTTCTGGAGAGTCTCTGTCGGGACTCCAAAGACTCCCATCCTGCAGCAGCTCGCCACTTGTCCAATTTGGCAGACAGACAAAGCTAGCTTTTCGGCTGTGAAAGAGAGATTATAAGGTCTGGCTGACCTCTAGCTGATGCAACAATCAACTCTCCCACCATCTTTACATGTGACTTCCTCTTATTGTTTGCCTAAATGACTTGTGCCATCCACACAAGTGCTACAAGTCCTAGCTAGCGAAGAATAAACCAAGCAGTACGATCCTGTGCAACCAGTAAGGCACGGCACTCGCTCTCAACCACGCTCAGCGCCTCGCCACCTCTCAAGTCCCAATTTAATGCTCCTTGTGTGGTGCAGACAGAAATGACAACACCAACCTCATGATTTCCAACTCCATCTGTGACTGTGAGAAGAAAGGTGGACGCTGCAGGGGGAACGGCACAATTGTTTGGCTGCACAGGAAGTGTCTGCTTCCCACAGGTCCTCCACTCTCTAATACCAGATAAGCTTAATGTGCGTGTGTGTGTGTGTGTGTGTCAAGACTGATTTTCCGCCAAGGTTAATCCCCACAGGGCACAGGTTTTTACCTTGTCTGACTGACTGCCACAGCGCCTCAAAAACGCCCATTAGGACTCATAATCCAGCAAGATGTTTTTGTGCTAGCTTTGTTTACTGTAGATAAAAAACAAATCTGAAATGTTATTTTTTTTCAACCTGTTTTCTATTAAAAGTCTATGTAGACCCTGTTATTTAGGATGAAATCACTTAAAGACATGGGCATCAAAAAGCTGACTAGGCACCTATTTGGTTTTCTGTCTTGGTCAGGGTCACAGAGAACGGGACGGCCAATCATCCGGATCGACACTTTTTGCCGCTTTTTATTGCAGGAATTCAAACGATGCACAATCCAACCCTACACCTCAGTGAGGCCACAATAATCAAATTCCAGCACCAGTTCCATCCAGTCACTCTTATTGTTTAGTGCCCAATCAGTGCTTTTAAAACTCTATTAATAAATACAACCCAGTAGGATGTAAAGTATTGTTTGCACTAGTCACAGAACTCCACATTACTCTTGCCAACATATGAGTTAAGTTAGGCATCCGCACTTTCCCACCTTAAGAGAGCACATGGGCCACGTTGTTGCAACGGGCCAGCATAGCTTCGATCTTAGACATGTAAAAGTGCATTTACCAGAACTCAAACCTACACAGCTGACCAAACTCTACTGAATATACTGTTACGTTGTTTCAAGGGAATTTCTGGCCCACGAAGGAGGGTGGTGGGATCTCCTGGCAGGCGGAAGCTCGGCGAGCCGCTTCCAGGAAGGTGCCCCGCTGTGCCTGCGCTCCCGTGCCCACGCTGCCGGCATCGGCGTGGGTGCCCACCCAGTGCAGCACGCGGGCGGAGGGCCTGTGGTGGAGGGCCAGCTGCCTGGAGCTGTAGCCGCACATCCCGATCCCCACGGCCCCCAGGAGCATAGCCACACCAGGCATGGTCCTCTCATCTGGAAGCGCCACAGGCATGTTGTGGTAGGCCTGAGTCTGACAGGAGAGAAAGGTGACAACTGTGATACCAAGCACAATGTTCTGCCCCATCAACCCCCAAAAGCCTGAAGAGATTAAAAACTCATTTTGTTTTTCCATTTACTAAATCCTGGCATGCCCCTTTTGACAAAAAAAGCTAATCTATCTTGCGACATGGATAATTTCCTTCTGACAATTATGAAGCACATAGAAGAGCAAATAATGAAAACTTCATCGTTTCTAATGGAGCTATGTCACAGGCAGTTAAGATGCAATTCCTGTGGCTCGATCATCAACTCCTCATTTCTACTTACAAAGCAATGGACTGTCGCAGGTTGGGTTTCCTTATTGTTATGGGAAAAAAATAAAACAACAGCTACTGTGCTAAAATAAAAGCTGGTCTACAATTATGGGCACAGCAGTCTGGAAACATTTCCTAATTGTGGTTTGCGAGTGCATCATAAGATAGTGCTGTGCTTCGTCATCATTTTGTCACAACGGAATTTGTTAAGATAATGGACTGGAATAAATGTTTGCATTATGGCAGCATAAAGCTTGGGAAAACGATTGTGGCGTACGCATTGTTTTTGTTAATATTTATGTGCAAATCCATAAAATCAGGACCTTTCAGTTAATCACAACTCATCGAAATCATCTCATCTGCCACTTTAGGTTTTGTAATATGCAACATTTTTGAGGTTTCTGCAGATTTTTTTGTATTTAAAAACGTGACAATAAAACATATCCATTATCTTTTGATGCCCATTAGTTTCCCATGCGAATATACAATTTTAAATAACAGCTAACAATCTTCCACTTACCTGCAGCAGCCTGATGTAGCTGGGAGTCAGTCTTGGGAGTCTGAAAAACATCTTGGAGCTTTAGATGATGGTCTTCTTTTCTGTAAATTAGAGCTAAAGGCCCAAAAACCTCTGGCTCTTTTTTTAAGCTCCCCTCCCTGGACTCCCAGGATGGGAACCCCACAAACGGACGGTCTGCCCAGGCTTGAGTACGATCTGTCCGACCTTTGCTTCAGTCTGATCCAGGAAAGTCTGATTAGCCCTTATACTATCCCCTTCTGTTCTTTACATAATAAGAAGGTTGCCGGAGGTGAGACTAAGAGGATTACAGGTGCTGGTACGCATGAACAAAGATGTCTGTATCAACAGAGGAAAGATTCAAAGTGCAGGGCTGCATGGTTTTTTGCTTTTCAGCAATGTTAGCATTTAGGAGTATGGCATAACCTAGACATGAATTTATAAATAACTAAATAATCTTTATTTTATTATGAGTTTCGGTCCAGAGTATTGTGAGAGTATCATCCAAAGTTGTTTGTGAATGTTTTTTATGCGTGTTTCTCTCAGTTTCTTTACTATTTCAAAATCATAATGTCAATAAAAACAGCATAAAAACATTCTGAATCAGATACAGTGCATGTGCATATAACCACTTCAGTTATTATAAGTCATAGTGAGAAGCACTAGAATGCACTGGAACCTGCAGTTTATTCTGTTGGTGTCTTCAAGATCATCTCTTCTGCTTTGTCAGCACATTTCTCTAAGTTTTAATATCTGCCTTGGCCTCGGGGTCCTCGGTTCTGTGTCGCATAATGAGCTAGCTTTGCTGTGCAGATCCTTTCTGACTGTGGATGTGAGACAAGACAACAATCACCCTCCTTACCACCATCACTGTTAATAAGATCCAGCTCTGCCACCCAATTTATGCATACACGAGTAATCTCCAACCCAAACAATAACACAGCAAAGTCATTATCCAACTGGATCTTCTAAAGCCAACTGGGTTTTTCTGCTAAAGGAAGGATATCAGACTGAAGGTTCAGTGTGAGAGAAAACCACATCTAAATGACTGCTGTGCAATAACATCAAATTTGATGGTTCCTCATCCACTAGTTAGGACGACATTTAAYTCACAGCCATAAAGAAGAAGTAGTTGGAGCGACTGTCTGGAAACCAAGAAGCACACAGGCCGAGCTGAGGTTTCTTTTTGGCTAGAAAATTTCATTTAATGTAGAAAAATAAATAAATAAAAACCTTAGATTGTTTAAATTACAACACTAAAAGCTAATATWGATTTGTTTTAAGAATATTTCAAATCGTAACAACTTAACCTTTTTAGCTCACATAGATGTATGTATATATATTGCATCAGGACATCAATGTACCAGACTACACGTGTGCAAAAAGTAATGACATTTGTGTTTGGTGGGTTATTTCTTTGTTGTAACAATGCTTCTTGGTAATAAATCTTATACAGGTCACCTGACTGGAAGCATCTGTGGGTACCAGAAGCTCAAACCAAGTTTTAAAAGCAAGAGCAAAACAGGATTTGGCAAATGTTTCATGTTCGCAACCCACATACTGAGCTCTACTGCTCCTCCCATAAATGCATGTTCCTTACAAATGTGGCACCTTTTCAAAGTGAAATTAACAGGCTTTTCAGCAATATAAGATTTAACACTATAAAGAAGCATTGTTACAACAAAGAAAAAAATCTACCAAACATAAATTTCCTTAATTTTTGTATATATACAAAATAGTACCACTTTCCAATAATGGTGAAGATTCAGATGACAATGCTGCAATGACATGAAGATATTATGTTAAGTGTGGACAACATCTGTTGTTTTGTAACCACTCAATTATCCTTGAACGAGACAAGTTTCCACATTTAGACATTCGAGGTTTATGCCGGCATTATAAAATGACGTGAGAGCAAATGTTTTGATTGTGACAGCTACCCACCTTTCTGTAAAAACACAGTAAACAAAGTCTAGTTCCTTAGAGAATTGTCACACATAGTAATTTCTTTGTGGGACTATGATAATGTGTTGTATATTTTTGAATATGTATAAATCAAACTAAATAATAGATTTTTGTCTTAAATAAGTTGCTTATTTAAGGAACAATGTTCAACAGTAACTACATAGCTGATTTAGAGAACATGTAACAATAAGCTGCAACTAAATAACTTGACAAAATTGAGAAATGGTAAGGCAAATCACTGTTTGAGCCTGACACTAATAAACCTGTTAAAGGGGGGTATTAAGCAAAATTGACTGAATTTTATATCATGTTATGTCATTCCTCATCAAAAACATATCCAGTGTTGCTTCGACTCATTCATGCATGTATCTTCTGTGGCCATGTAGAGCTACCTAAATGCTTGCAAAGCCCCGCCTATTTACACAAAGCACCTCCCTGGAGCACCCCTTCCTTGAAACATAAACCGTGTTATCAGCGTTTTTTTTTTTTTTTTTTTGCATTTCGAAGTATAGCATTAGAAAAGGTGAATGGAAATGACATGGTTCACAAAAACTTCCTCTATTTCGCAAAGGTTTAGACACTCACTTGAGATGGTTTTGGATTTTTTTCGAAAAAGAGTTCATGCGCAAAAGGGGAGATGGAAACACATTTGCTGAATAAGGCTGTTCCCGCTGGCTGTCCGGCACTGGTACCAGCTGCGACTGCAGCTGGACTCTCCCCCCGCTGTTGGCGTCTTCACAGATATATCCCCGTATCAGGAAGAGAATTCATTYCTTTCTCTACGTCTCCAGACAGCATGTTAACATCGCCAAAACTAGTTGGTATGACAGAATAATTACAACTTCCCCGATAGTAGCAACGCGTTCCTGATAACTGTTCTCCGTTGTCCCGAAATGTATATTGCTGGGAGTTTGCGACTTTACTTCCTGTTTACTACAGCCGTGCATAACGTCAACTTCTGACGTAATTACTTTAAGTAGCCTGGTTGACTTGTTCCAAGCCAATTGATGGAAACACATCTGATTAGCATTTCTTCTTCTTTTCCCTTTTGTGACATTTTAAAAGTTTGCTCAAAATTAAAATTAAAATTGGAYGACAAGCTATTGTTGTGAAGACGTGCTGAAGTGGGAGTGTCAGAAATGGTAGGAGGTTTAAAGAGACAGAGGCCAATTTTAAGGCGTTTAGATAGGCCATGAAACAAAGCCAAATGTATTCCTGATATATACAGCATTTTCATAATTTGTAACAGTTATTTGGTTGTGGAATTGAATCTGGAAAATACATAATACCCCACTTTAAGATAGTTCAACAGTTTTAGAACAACTTTAGTTTGCCTTTTAGCATTCATCTGCAAATAATCACCTTTCTCTGATTTTATAGTGTCACACAACATCTGTCCTTATTCTCTCCTCTGGATAATGTCAACATAATCAACCCGATTCAGCTCATTATGCGCCCTATGAATGGAGTCCACAGATGGTAGCCCTTGTGCTCAATGTTCCATATCACACCTACAGATTTGACTTTTTTGGTGTAACCTGACGCTGTCTACTGGTGCATCCCAGCGATTGCTCCTCTACATTTGGTAAATATCATCCAGCCCTCGCTCAGGTCACCTAACTGTCCCCATCCCGCTGAGATAATTGTTCGTCCTTTCTCTGAACTCACMGCCAGACACACAGCTACTGGAAAGGGCGTTAAAATAGCTGCCCTGAGCTGCAGACGAGTTCGCTGCTGATGCAGAGGGGTTAAGCTCCCAAACTCCCCAGGTGGCATTGGTTTAAACTGTTTATCAGCAACAGAGCGTTGCCAYTTTGTTCCCACGGTTTGGACGTGCGAAAGTGGATGTTGTGATGATATAAAGAGACAAAAAGACAAGGTTCACCAGTTTTGCAACCCATTAGGCAGACAGACGTGTTTACCAGCAAAACATAAAATGTGGAATATTTTATTATAAAACCATGTATAAATATGCTTTTATAAAAAGCTCAACATTTTCAGAACCAGCGGAAACATTATTATCCGTGCATCTTTGACTGACAGTCCTAAGGGTGTGCAGCAGAACATCTTGTCTCCTCGTTTCTTTGTAAAGGAAGAATGTCTGTGATCCAGTATTTGAAGAGCGAAACGACTGCAGTGGTTTCTTCTGTAACACAAAGTGACAGAATGCAACACTTCAGTTACAGACAAAACAAGAACACTCCGACTTTTCAGCAAAGACTTGTATTTTTTTTTTGCCGATCGTGAAATCTGCCTCCTACACATTAATTCACAMAGATTCTCTGTTTTTTAACTTATTCTTGAAAAGTTCAACTTTGATGTGTAGAAYGTAAAGCTGAACAGCATAAGAATATAGGGTGTTAATCATCAAAAATAATTCTAGGATGAAATAAAATATGCTTTAAGAAAATCTGGTGGAGAGCTTTGCAAAATTCACTCAAAGGGCTTTAGCATGCACCTGGATTACTTCCTGCACGCCAGTRAATGTGGGTTAAAGGAGGCTGCATGGTAAATCGAAGGTTAATTAAATCTTACTTTTTTTAAAAATTGCTTTGATCCACGGCTATGACGCTACAAAATTACGGGTTACATTAGTATTAGAGAATACGCTTCATGTGATGAGTTTTGTAMGAAAGCCAAAAATGCTGGGATTGCAAAGATGTCTTCAACAGCCTCAAGCCTTACAGAACATACTGATTCACGTTTCTCTTTTGTTGAACTTGGGAACTGTAGTTAGTACGACAAAACATGCAATCTGCTGTCATGTCCAGATATAAAAGAAAAAAAACTGAAAGGATACATGACTCGTGACGCATGAGAGTGGAGTGGTAGAGGCCTTGAAAAGCTTTGAGGCAGATGTTGAACAGGTGGGAGGAGAAAATTCTTGTGTGAGCTCTGCTGGCAGGACTAAAAAAAACCTGTCATTTCATGGACAAGCGTCACTTTGTGGAAGTAAGACACTGGTTACAGCCCTTTGGCTGGTTTTCAAACATACGCTGACTCAAACTCYTCATCCTGCCCGACAAACACTTGCCAGAAAACACGTCTTGACACACGCTCAGGAAGGAGAGGTGGTGTCCGGGGATGAAAAAATGTTTTGGCTGCTGACAGTTGAGGCGAGATGAAACATGTTTTGGCAGCTAATGGGTGGCGTTAACCTGTGAGATGAATTATGAACAAGTCCATCCCTTGTTTTAACCAACTGTAGGCAGGTAATTACAGGTACAGTCTAATAKGGGCAAGTATGAACAGGTGTACTCAGGTGAGTTTTAATATTAACGTCTGGGCATACAGAATAGGAGGCAAGCCAGGGCAGATCGAGGCAAGTATTAACCTGCAGGGACAGGTCAGCCAAGTGTTTGGGGAARGTTCCGGCAGCAATAACGAGGCATCATTCAATAAAAAAAAATATTAAATTGACCCGTTTCTGTAACAAACACGCCATGAAATAAAGGTTTTTAATTACCTGCAGACATGGAGGGGCAGCTGCTGAGCTCCATCAGTGYCTTTTCCACACTCGTTGTATCTTTCTGTTGAACAAAGGCCTTGAGGCAGCAGAGCTGCTTCAGGACAGAGTCGGGCTGGCTTCCRGTCTTTATGCTGGCCAGGAGGTCATCGACTGCAGTGGACAGGTGAGGAGTCTGTGCTGCACGCAGCGAGGCTGTAGGAGTACACAGGAAATGAGATGGGCTGTAAAATAAGACGACAATATCCTGAGCGCTGCAGTCAAGACGTTTTAGGGCCGGTCGCTGATTAAAGAGAATACAGTGAAGTGATTATAATGACAAGGTTTATTTTTGAGTTCATTATTTGTTATTTAAACCAAGGTTGTAAACTAAATTAAGAAATTAATGAACCAGGAAGTAATTACAAAAAATATGTTGCAAAAAAAATGTTAAAAAAGCAGACCTAGGGCACACAAAAATTAAAAAGGTAGCTGTGGCTACAATGTAGCTTACCACCATCAGTGTGTGAATGTGTGTGTGCATGGGTGAAGCGTAAACCGCTTTGGGGTTCATGTGGACTTGATATGTTGCTATATAAGTTCAAGCCATTTACCATTTTTACTAAACTAATATGAAACTAAGCATTAAAAAACAATAATAACTAATAAAAACTACCAAACATACTCTAAAAATTCATAAAAAACAAACTGAATTAATAGTCACAACAAATTAAACTAAACTATAATAAAAAAAATCCAAAAATATTTTAACCTTGCACTGTCCACAACACCTTTTTTACAAGTAAATATCTTAAATTAAAAACTCATTTTTTATAAGCTGGGTAAAAAGTGCTCATTTTTCTTTTACTTAAACCATAACAGTTTACTCTGTTTTATAGTAATAAAACTTTACAAATGCAATATAAGTAGTTGTTTTATGATGTTAAAAACAATATTTTAAGAAATAAAACTGAGAAAAAATGTGTACAGCCACAAAACAGGACTGTTTTTATTAACCCACCATAAAGAGAACATACTTCTGAAGATATGTTTCCACTTATTTTCTGTTTACAGACCTTATAAATTATTCACTGGGTGATGCCTTGGAAATAATCAGCTGATCTCAAGTGCAGCTTGGAGCTAAATRAACTTGTTACTCTGGGAGGCCTTGATTAAAAACCCAGAGACTGAAGAAACTCATTGATTTTCTGCTGGCAGAACTGATATTATTCTTTGGCTTCAGGATTTAACCTTTATATTAAAGCAGATTTATATAATTTTATAATACTTGGAAAAACCTGTGAGATTTTGACTCCTTTTTATGTTTATTTTATTTTATTTTTTACCTGGTCAAGCATGAAATAAAAATTTAAAAAATCATTTTTGGACATTAACATCTATCTGGGTTAAACACATGTGTTTTCTGTCACAATTATGAATTTTTCATCAGATGATATTAAGCATTTTTAGCAATTTTCAAAACCAAATCGTATGTTTGAAAACATTTTGGATTTTTAGCGTGAAATGTGATTGTTCAAAACTGCAAGTACAAACAGTTGACACTTACAATCTGACATGTAGATTTCTGTTGTAGTCTTCAGGAACTGCAACAGCTCAGCAGCTCTTCTCTCTTCATCTTCCTCCTCCTCTTCATCCTTGCTGTACGTGAACTCCAGTGGAGCAGCTTTAGGCATCAGACCCAKGGACATCAGCTTCTCTTTGCGCAATTTTTTCTTCAGTTTTCTTTTCTTATTCTTGGTAATGCGCTCTCCTGCAGTCACCTGACTCTGACCTGTGCTGGACTCCGTGAGTGGAGTCTCATTTTTCCCAGGGTCCTGAAGAGAAGCTTTCTTCCTCTTCCTTCTCCTCCTCCTCCTCCTGCTGCTTTGCTCTTCTGCCTCATTTTGTTTATCCTCTTCTTCACTGCTACCATGGACACTTCCATCTGCTAGCAACAAGAAAAAAATATATATATATCATTCTTAATTTTTGACAGCTTCCACATGCACAAATTAACTAAAAAAAACAATCAGCCTAGAGTTTGCTGACACTGTCAAAAGAACTATCAGTGTGTAACGCATTAGGGGAATACAGAAAAGGGCAAAAGCAGCGGTGCATTTAAAAATCTACCATCTTTCAAAAACTGAGAAACTGCAGGTTTAGTTCAAACCAATCAATGTCCCAACAGACTCAATGTAATATAAAAATATTACATATCCCTTCTTTGAAGCTGACTGTAGTCTAATGAACAAAATCAGCTGGTATGAAGTCAGTTTCTGAAGGAAAGGGTCAAATCTAAAACAGCTATGGTGCTTGTAAAGTCACGTCAAACYGAAGCTGAGATTAAAACATTAGAATATAAAGACAAATGTAGCTCCTAGCTTGTAAAAATCTTACGCACTGTCCTGATTTTAAGAAGGCAGCCAATTAGGACCTAACTAGTCAGTCCAAAATACATTGTAAACAATATAAATTACTCTCAAGCTGAGTTATTAAAAAAACTTTTCTAAAGTTATTTATTTGCACTGCAATCAAGTACTCCCTCAGTAAAAAAATAAATAAATAAAGTGATGCTTAATGAATATTTCTCTTAACTGGAGTTCCATTGAGGATCATGAAGTACTACTTTAACACTTCAGAGAGGCAACACGGGAAATAAACCATGTGGATCGTAAATTTCTGCTAGGTAAATGGTGCGAAACTCGAGTCCATAAAATAAAAACTTTATGGCTGTCTTACCAGCTGGATCCTCATCACTATTTATGCTTTCGGGCTGGGGAGGTGCGACAGATTTATCCAGATGTATATTATAGTCTGGAGGAGGTGGTAGGACTGTGTACATCCGAGGGCATGGATTGGCTGCATTCTGTGCCTTTCCTGCACCTCCTGATTTAAACATGGCAAACAAAGGAATTGGATTGGAATTAAAATCCGGAGTAAGCGTATAACTTGCTGTGTATGTTTACAGTGACAATGTGATCTTACCCAACACAGTGCCCTGCCCAGATGCTTTTCTTTTCACAGGCGATGTCTTGGCTTCAGCCTCTGCAATAAGAGGTGGACTTTGTTCTTTCCTCAATGTGGACGAAATAGGATAGAGCTTCTGAAGGACTTTTGATTGAAACACTTTTAAAAGACAGAAAAACAACACGAATGTAGTTAAGAAAACCCACTTTCTCCTAAACTGTTACCATACTGTCAGGGTTTGATTTTGCCACTTGTAAGTTAATGATAAATAATGAAGATGCTAAGCACATTTATGCATTCTTGTAAATTTTATTGCCCTTAACTATAATTTACTAAAACGTTAAAAAGCATTAAAATGATGGGATTTTATTTAAACATGATGAGTATGCTCAAAAACAAAACAATGAACACGTTTTCTTAAAAAAGTGGACAGTAAACAACCAAAACAACAACAACAACAATAATAATAATAATAATAATAACAATAATAATTGGATTTTGTGGGATGCAGAACTACAGGGGCATCCTTTTGTGGGGAACAAACTAGTCATTTTTACTTTGACAGTGCAGCACGTGGATTTGTTTACAACAACAAAGCTAGTTAGCAGTAGCGTCAAACAAGCTGCATTAGCGACTTGGCTTGTTACAAACACACAACTAGCATTAGTTTAATAATTTTCGTGAACAACACGTAGTGCTCACCTTGTTTCCTGTGTGCCATATCAACATATATTACTGATTTAAGGTGATAAAGACACAAATGCTCGTGTTTCAGAGGGCTAGTGTTGAACTAGCAAGCTAGCTAAAGTTACCTCCTCCTATTCGGCAAATAGCGCCTTAACAACTCTTTTCGCCGTCTCGTCTTAGATCGGATATCAGAAAAGGTAAAAATATTACGCTATCACATTTCGGTGAAATAAAGAAGCCATATATATCGACAAAGGCATCTAAAGCTGAGCTGATCTGCTGCGTCACATGACTCACTGAGGCTAGAAACAAGAGAAACTTCAACACTGCTCCGCTGCGCCAATCTCCATTCAGACTTCGACTAATTTTAAGCTAATTTTAACTTTTAAACAAATAACAGCCTTACAATCTCGACTGAGAGCAAAATCTGGGTTTCCTAAAATCTGTCTTTGAATCGGCGAAGAGAAACTACTCCCTTTAAACAATATTATGAGTAAACTAGAGAAAATTTGACACTGTGCTGTTGCACCAATCTCTATTTAAGCTGAATATAATTTAAAGTAGCTTTATATTTCAGACCAAATAAACCCGTTACGGTCTTTATTCAATACTAGACCTGGATAAGTTAATTCATTCTTTAAATCGGCATATAGTTTATCTTCTAAGAAAGTACCATAGGCAGAAAACCTGAGATTTTGAATGATTAAAATAATAATATGTGTTGTGTATGTAATTAATGACAAGTGATTAGCTATATGTACAACAATAAACTTAAAAAGCATCCCAAAAGTACAACCTTGTTTAATTTTGAGTTGATTAAAATTCATTTTTGTCCATGAAGCTTCACTAGGTTAGAGCTCCCCGTGTGTCTGAAAGCAGTTACAACAGCAATCCGGGGCTTGCGCACACCAAGCCAGCTGTAGGACGGGGTGGAAGCGAGATGAGAATACTAAGCAGGCGCCTCATGGTTCAGTATCAGCACAGGGGTGAGTTAAGATTTGCGCACCCATCAAACTTGGCTTGGGACCTCAGCATGTGAGCGGGCTTCGTGGGAGGAGGATCCGCCCAGAATGTCAGCTCTGAAAAAGGTAATTCCACCTCTTTCCCTTTTTCTTTCAACACTTTCCCCCTCCCAGCACCCAATAAATCACGTTAGAGTAAATAATAAAAATGTACAGTATGCATGAGTATAAATGAAAAGGGTGTTTGCTCAAGCGTTTAGTTTGCAAGATMTTTGCTGATTGTGCTTGTATGAATCACAGATCCAATTAATGCAACAGTAAAATGTATTTTTTGTTGCTTGCACATGAGATTTGATCACTATTCATTTGTTAAAAGCTCTTCACTGTCAATCCACTTGCCTCTATCCCTTAGTAAAAGGTTTGCACAAGGAGCAGTTTCATGCAGAAGCAATCTTTGCTTAAGGATAACTTCTCAGATGAATGATATATCATGTTTGAGCTCCTGAGGACTTCTCCTTTTGTGCACATAGTACTGTAAATGCTGTGTTGACTGTAGTCTCTGTGGGTGGATGAGCTTCACTGACTGCCTGACAGAGTGGTGCACCCAGTGTTGGCAATCTTGARTGAGAGTGGAGCTCCCTGCAGCCTACAAAGGTGTTTGATAAGGGCAAGGTGTAGGAAACTATACAAATTTATTGTTACACAATGTATTACAGTGAACAAGAGGTTGGTTTTGCAGTGTTATCAATTGAGTAGTGTTGGAAACAGTGCAGAAATGWTGCTGCTAGGGTAACTGAAAAAATAAAGACAATAGTAAACTGCTTATTTTTTGAATAAATGTAGTTATTGCTGTTTGTTGGATAATAAATTGTGTTGTCTAAGATTCAATTCAGCTGGAAGTGTTGACGTCTCAACTCCAGTTGATCCCTGTGATTGAATGACACAGGAAGAAAGTTGGATGGAAAGCCTGCCTCAGTGCCGCTGCCAGATCCACGGCAGTGTGCGGCACTCAGCACGCACAGTGAGTGACAAAGTGCTGGCTGCCTGCACTCAGATAGGCAGACATCATAATCAGAGAGCTACTAAAAATAGGGGACTACATTCATTGCAATTCTGTGGGAGCGCTGAGGAGTTGTTGCTGTTTGCTGTAGTGATTCAACGCTTTACCACAGTTCTCCAAAATGCTCCAGCCTGTTCAATAATACAGACTTTTATTTTTAGACAGTRTTGGTCAGCCAGGTTTTCTTCAATGGCGCACAGCTGCACGCATTTCAGTGTGTGGACTTGAAAAGTGCAGAGAAGCTTGTACTGTACCTGGAAAAAGCATTTTTATGCATGATTTATTTAGGAGCTTTGCAAATTGTTCAATTTATTCAATATGCAGGTGGTAACAAGTGCCATGGAGTACGAAGGAAATGTAATTACTTAAAATAAAATAGTTGGTGTCATCGTGCAAGTGTTTATGTGTATTCACTGACTGTGAATGTGTGTGGCCAGCTGTAACAATAAAAGCAATTTGCACAAGGGCAGGTGAAAGTCACTGATGTAGGTCTGTATGTGACTTATTTTCTGACCATGGTTTGAAGGCCCCACAAATGATCTTCTCCTTCACATAACACTTCACCCTAATCAGGCAACTACTACAACAGAGTGGTCAATGTGAAACGGTCACTGAACTTTGTATGATTCATATGGTGGAAAGTGTTWGGCTCATTTTTCCAGGTAATTTCTCTGCTTAAAAAGAAGGCAGCYCCATTACAGGCTACCACTTGAGTTAAATGAGTACAGACCCAAAAACTAGGATGGTCTTTTTCTAAATAGATTTCTAAGGCTACAAAAGGTTAGGCACATGTGCATGACAGAAGGGTTGTCAATTAACAGCTTGTGTGRATTTTGCCTGCTTGGCAGCAACACAATGGAGCTCTCTTCATTTGTTTGTGGACGCACAGTGAACTTGASACACTTCATGTATTATTTGTGGTGATGTAATGTTGATTTGTATTTTAAAAGAGAGACTCAGTGGTGATTGTATGTTTGTCCATCTACAAACAAATGTTGAAGCAAATTGCTGAGTATTATTCACTCACTCATGCTTAGTGCTTTCCCACATTTGTCGGTAGCTCATTTTTTTAGTCACTTTAATGCTTTCCCTTTTTCATTTTATCATTTTTCTTTGTCTCTGTGTGTTCCTCTCATTTTACGCACCTATTCATTCRTTGATAAATGCCCCAGCACATCTGTAATAGTTTGGCTTCAGCACAGGGATGCGGYGGGAGTGAAGGGGATTGATGGGACACTGGTTTATGGATTTAATAATGCATGAGAGCCAAGTGTGTGTGTGTGAGTGTGTAAGGGTGCGTACCTTTGCCTCARTGCTCTTCAGTTCATCAGCTTTGTGTTAATGTCAAGCACAGATCTTATTGGTGGGTGTCTGTGTTTCCTCCCTGGGTTTCTGTTAGTGCAGGAGCCACCAATTAGGCTTAAGTCAGATGTGACTCCTTGCAAGCCGACTAAGTAGTAAACACAGGTATATTTTTGTTATTTTGTTCATCGTTYCAACAGCTATCCTTTAATAGTTTCCCCAATGGGGTGATGAGTGACACTGTGTTATCAGTCTTTAAATGGGGATATATCATGCAAAATCCACATTTTTTGGCTGTTAAGTACATTTTGTTGTGCACTTGGAGTTTCTAGGAGTGCAGAAAATCTTAATTTCTGTCAGTGCTGCACAGATATTTTTATATTTTGTTTGGGCCATATTTTGCAACCAGACCAGTTTTCTCTATTTTTTTAATGATGTTTTCTAAACTATTACATCACAGTTTTTGTGACAAAATTGCCAAAAGAGGTCTGGACTTACCAAATACAATTTGATCATCTTCTTTCTTCTCTGGCTCTGGGTCAGACTCTGGTTCCAACATGTAAGGCTGGATGGACAAGTCTTCTAGCCCGATAAAATCCAGACCCTTGTCCTTCACTTTGCTTYGTACGAGGGTCTGGACTTTGGGCTATAGAGAAGTGATTCTTGCTGGAGGCGTGGCCTCTGCTGAAGTTTAAAAKGAYTGGATTGGTTGGCCGCAATGTATGTCGCTGCGAAGGAGGCTAAGCTAAGAAGCTAACCGGAAATCGCGTGCGCTGTAAACAACCCTACTGAGAGGAGAAAAGTACCGAGTCGAACGAGACGGCTGTAAATGAGAGCTGCTGCTTTGTCAGAAAAAAACAATTAATTTGGAAGCCTTATCAACACGGACTGGCTTCATTCACTTCCTCCACTGCCGTATGCTAAACTAACTAGCTGACACTGCGCAGAAAATCAACGTTCAAAACTCCGCCTTCTGTTTGCTGATTGGCCCAGGTAAAATAAACTACAAGCAGACACTGCGCAGAAAATCGGCGTTCTGTTCTCTGATTGGCCTGGACGAAAATTCTCCCGAAGAAATCGTTGTCTATGGGAGAAATCCCAGACGGAGCAGTGAAGGGAAACTAGAATTGAGCGGAGCTGCATAGGAAGGCAAGGGCCAGGCTACAAGTCTTCTGTTGTCGACATCTTTTAATTAATTTGCAAATAAAGTTTCTGCGCCACTGTATAGTCGTAAACCACTTTGGAGGGTGGCGGGATATTRATCACCTTGTTTGGATCATTTGAACTGGTCAAAACGAGTTGATCTGAGACACACCTCAGACAAAGAGGGAAAGAGGGGYTTRTGGAGTTACARTAACGAGGAATTCAGACCGAAACATTGCAGYTCCACTTTGTATAGACCCCAGCTGAATGTGAAAAAGAAGGATTTAAAAGCATGACATATCACCTTAAAATCCTCTCATTTAGAGGCAGAGGTAAATCATCTTGTGGTCTAAATTAAATTCTAAATTTGTCTTCCTGTGTTAAAGCCCTGTCAAAACAGGAAATATGAAATTATTCACATACAGGACAATTTGAGATGTTATTTATTCTTCTACTGAGGAATATGTATGTCGTATAATAGTATCACTGTTGAAGAAAAGCCCAGCTCATATTAAGGACAGACTGTCAAATCAACAAGGTTTTTGATCAAAGTGTGTCCATTTCTATCTTTCAAAATTCAAAATTTTGAGCCTTTTTTGCTGACTGTTCCTGTAGGCTGGTTATTTCATGTTCCACCCTTACCTTAAAACAAAAATATCACATCATGCTGTTCCATTTGGAACTTTGTCAACCACTCCGCTTCCAGTTTGCACTACTTACCTTTGAGCAGGTGGAGRGACTCGCTCCATGTTTTGAACCTTTTATTTTTTTTATTCTCTTCCACTTCTCTATTGAAACTTGACCCATTCATAAGAAGTGAAGTTCACACAATAAATATG